GTTGTGTTTGATGGGAGCTTGATTTAGGACCGGAGATGAGAGATGGGCCTTCGCCGTCTTGTAACCCTCCTATCATTCTGTTTTGTGAAGCGATATACAGTCATGCAGGGTGCAACGGAGGGAGTGTACGGAAAGGGGTGAGTTCATCCTCCAGCAGAGCCCGGGGAATTTGGACTACAGAGAGAGAGAGAGAGAGAGAGAGAGAGAGAGAGAGAAATATGAACAAGGGAGGGTCGGGACAGTTGATCCTTCACTCTGCCAGAAAGTCCTTTTGAGGCTCGAGTGGGTTTGGGGTGTTGGGTGTTAACACTTGTGTGACTTGTTTGTGTTGATCAGGAAATCGACGAGCTGAGAACGTGCTGCGAGAAATGATGCAAGTTATTCTGAAGGAGTTGCCGGATCCCGAGGAAGTTGACGAGGACTGGCAGTATCGGTAAGGCAGAAAGGAAAATGGTGTTATCTCGAATCCATATTTTATCTTCCGTTTCGTCTTGTTACTGTCTTCACATGAATAGAACACCTGGTCGTGATCGTTGTATCTGTATAGAGTCTATAGACTGAATATGGACCGGGCATTCGGTTCAGGGGAAGATGGGACTCTACTTGTGAAGGGGAAAAAAGAAAGTAGAAAATAGAAAATTTGCATTTCTGCTTACACATACAGTGAAACACCCCCACCCAGAAAAACAGAGCCTTTTGGTCCGCTGACCATAAGGCTCTGTTTTTCGCACTTCTGCTCCCGTCCATTCTCGGGAGTGTCAGTCCGGTTTGTCTTCCGCTGACAAGTCACTCAAATTACAAGCAATAGCAGCAAGGCACCTTCCTTTTTTTTTCCTTTTTTTTTGTTGGGGGGGGGGGACCTTTTCTTGATTTGTGTGTGTCATCTTTGAGTGCGAACGGGTCACACTAATCTTGTGTGTGTTGCGTCCAATTTTATGGGATGTCCTGTGGGGCAATTTAAACCTTGCATCTTTTCTGTTTTTTTACAAACCGAGCCCGCTACTAGGAGTGATGAGTGCATCCCCCCCTAGTAGCCCGGCCCGGTGCTCCAATCCGTTGGTGGGGAGCCACACCTGCTGGAAACCGGGTCCAGCGTCCCCCCACTAGATGGTTTTTAGAGAACAATACCAGGTAGATGGTTTCAGGCATCGTGGAATATCAGAGACATTTCAGTTAATTCACAATTTTTTTTCCCGATATGCCATCATGTTGATCCTCCTTTTCGTTCTGACCCCCCCCCCCCTCTCTCTCTCTCTCTCTCTCTCTCTCTCTCTCTCACTCACACACACACACACACACACACACACACNACACACACACACACACACACACACACACACACACACACACACACACACACACACACACGCACGCACACACACACACACACGCACGCACACACACACACACACACACTGTGGCATACTACACACCCCACGGGCCTGCAAGGCCTGACCAGGCAGAACAAGGAAAGTAAGGGCCCTGTGTCGTTTCAGCCTAAAACAGGGCCCTCCAGGCCCCGAGTCTTTTCAGCCTGAAATGGAGGGCCATTTTCAGGCCCTCATAAGATCGACCTGCCCTGAAACTTGGGCACCAGACCAGGGTTTTAGCACAGGCCATTTTTGGGCCTGTTTCAAGACAGTCTTTGTTTGAACTTCAACACCAGGGTCTGGCACATTTCAGCATTGGCAAGAGCAGCCTCCCTGCCGGACCGGCACTATATAGTACTGGTCCGCCAGGCACTTCACAAGTAGTCACGGGGTAGTTCATAGGGACTTCCCAGGCACTTCACGTGCAGGAGGCAGGAGGCAGTCTTCAGGATTCGGCAGCAGCACTCTGGAGGAGCGCTGCAGTAGTAGTAGTAGCGTTAGCAGTAGTCTTCAGCGCTGGGCGCTATTAGGAGCTAGAGTAGCGTTGGAGAGAGAGAGATGGTTGGCGGAGGCCAGGGAGACTTACCTGTGGCGCCATAGCTCCAGCTTTGTCTTCGAGGTACCTGCAACAAGGCGCCACCTTCGCAGGTTAGTATCGGACTGAGAGAGAGGGAGAGAGAGTTCTTCTTCTTCCTCTTCTAGGTCCACCATCTCCCCCTCACCCTCTCGCTACCTAACTTCTCAGTATCTGCAGACTACGAGAGAGAGAGATTGGTGACTTTGGGACTTGACGACATTTGGGTCCAGACTCCACATTGGGATTGAGACATTGGACGAGGGATTATTTGGTACGTGTACCGAAGACTTGGTGTTGACGACATTCCCATCTTCCCCTCTTCTTCATCTAACCCCCCTCTTCTTCGTCTGTGTATGGTTGGGGACTGGCGCGCTGTTCCTGTGTGAGCGCCAGGCCCCTTCACACCATGGAATGATGATGATGTATGTTTCGTCTGCATTGCAACATTGATTGTTCGGATCATTGGTATATTAGCCTTCCGCTGCGCTATCTTGTACTATGTCAGAGAGGTCGGTTCTTGTTCTGGTCTGCACCGTTACGGTATGCGATGCACACACACACACATAACAGGGCCCCTCATAAGCCTCTTGCGAGTACAACAGTGACCTCCTGCTCACTTAGCTACGCTCTCCAAGGCGTGATCAAGTCTCTGCGCAGGCAGTAAGGACAATGAACGATGCTGTTGGATCGTGCAAAGTGCTGACGAAGTCATCTTGGATCTCAAGAAAAAATGCACAATTCCTTTCGAGGCTGTACGCCACATACAGCAGATTTTACAATCATGTACACTAACCTGCTGCATGACAGGACTCTTAACAATGTCCTAAATGCGGTTCGTGAAGCACATGATTACGCCTTGTTGCAGACCCCACAGGGAAGAAGGCCAGTGTGAATGTACATGACTGTAGGAGGTCCTTGTCGTGGGGAGTGCGTTACTTCACGTGGGTCGGACACCCTTTCCATGTCAGAAATAGAACAGCATCTGCAGTTTGTGGTGTCTAACACTTGTCTCTACACAAGGGTTGGCACTCTGCGCCATGAGGTGGTATGTATCCCTTTGGGCACTAGCGCCGGACCAGAAATTGCCAACCTTACGCTCTATTGGGAAGAAGCGCAGTTCGTTGATGAACTTTATCAGCGGGATTTGAACTCTGTGCAATCACATGCATTCACATACCGATTGATTGATGAGATCTCATCTTGGAAGACATCACCGCCCCCTCCTGCTCGATATGGCCTCGAGTGAAAGGACACTACTGAGCAAGATGGGTCGTGTCTTTTCCTTCGGGCAAGAATCCTGGTTCGGACGGACGGATCACTTCGCATTGGCGTGTTTGATAAGGCTGAGGCCTGAAAATTCCCTGTCATACGCACACACAGACACACACAACACACACACGCAATACACACACACACACACACACACACACACACACACACACACACACACACACACGCGCGCGCACACACACACACCCCCCCGAGGATCCCCCTCCTGTAAATGGATCCCCCACGCAAACTGCGGTATCAGACAATGTCATAGCGCTACAGCGAGGGCGCTGTTCGTACTATGCCATTAATGTAGGTCTCCTGGCTTACAATTGTAATCCTTATTTCGCAGATGTTGTTCGCTGGATAGAAGAAGAGCAATGTGCCGTCTGCCCAGACGACGACAGCGCTGCGCCTAGGGTGAACATAGAAGTCCTGGCTATGGCATTTATGGGTAGGCGACTGCAATTCCAGCCTGCTCCGCAAAACCACGAGCCAGGCACGGATCCGAATATTTGGGCATATATCTTATATCGTCCAGGTCACTTCAGTGCTCTTACCTTTGCAGATACTTCATGGACCCTATGGGACAATGGCGGTAGGGTGCACACAGTGGGAAATATTAACTCTTTCTATCACCAAATGCTGGAGGGTCACTCAATCTGGCTCATCCATCAGGAACAGTATGTCGATGAGCATTTGCAAGCACTGCACCCCCCGGAGAGCAATCCTGCTGATTCTACCACAAACCTGTGCTCATCCCCCCCACCCCTTGATTACTTGCCCAGCATGCCGTTGTGGCCGTGATCTGCCATGCTTGAATAACTGTGCACGTCAGCCTTCCATACTGATGACATGTCAGCAACATGCCATGTCGTCAATGCTTCCGGGAAGCTGTCATAGAAAGTACGTGTCTTTACTGTGTGGACTATCCCCAGTGCCATCACCCTCCACATCCTCTCCTAGCATGTGTCCCACATGCGGTATTGGTCATACACCTACGGCAACCGCTGACGGATCTCCCTCTTTCTTGCCAGACGAACGACAAACATAGCAGTCCGAGGAGGAAAATAGACTTCTATATGAACTACCGGCAGAGCGATGTGCTCATAGTTTATCACCACCAGGGTGAGCTGTTGCGGATCATATCCTGCAGCAGCTGAATGCCCTTGCGTTGGACCGATCCTCCCTGTCGTCGTCTGCCCAGAGAGAAGGAATACATACTGAGGAATCTCAAGAAAGATGCTCCATGCCGTTTTGTGATGACCCGCCAGAGATTCAACTAGCATGTGGTTCACATGCCTTGTGCCGTGAGGATTATGAAGGTATAGTCCATGCGAGTTTTTGCTTCCATACGTGCGATGACAGTCAGTACTGTACTCATGTACGGCACCCCGACATGTCATGTCCAATTTCTAGACAGGGGCTGGAACGGCAATGCCTCTATAATTGCGGTCGACGTGCCTCTGTGTTCCTACCATGTACGAGCCACATAGCCTGTGACATCTGTCTGCGCCGTGCCATTCGATGCAGCAACTGTGACTGCGAAAATTGGATGCAGTGCTTCCATAGCCCACACCCGAACTGGTCCTGTCCGTACTGTAGGGGTGGCCACTCGCCCTAGGCTTTTTTTTTGTTTTTTTTTAATTAGAAGACTGCTTCAGTGGTGAATATTTAGAAATCTGTGAAACCCGTCATACACCTTTCCCCTGCTCTTTGCATGTCAGACTCTATCCTGCCCTCCACATATTTATTTCCTTCCCGTTGCCCCTACCTTCCCTGCCCCATACTCCTAGAGAACTCCGCCTTCTACCCCTTACCCTCCACCCTCACAAATACATACGAATGAGCATCATTAAGAGAATAGACGATATGAAGATCAGAAATGAAATGAACGGAAGTATGAAGATGAAGGACGGACACAAAGACTGTATAAGCCGAAGATATGGTCGTGAAGGCACACGGGAATGTGGGCAGCTGCCGCTCAACCACAATCAACGTGGGCAGCCTTGTACATGACAGGCATAGTAAAAGGGGAGCTGCAAGAACAATGAAAGGGGTACCCCAAGAACAACCAAAAAACTGTCTAATTATAAAATTGATTTAATACGTTGGACACATACTTGCAAGCGGACGCCGTCCGGGCGGTTCCGCACGTGTGGCAGATCGCCGGACCGGACCCGCGCGGCGCACGAATGTGCGCCCGACGACCGGTTACGCCCCCCCCCCCCCCCCAAAAAAAAAAAAATGGTCAGGGTCCGTCTGGTCCGGGGGGAGGGTGCCGCACGCGGCAAAGCGGACCGGACCGGACGCTCGTCCGGTCCGTCTGCTTGCAAGTATGGTTGGACATCTCAAATGATCTCTTTGTCTGCAATTGGACTAAGACTGCTTTGATTCTGAATCTATTCACCTGGATGGAATCGGGGCTGTTGTGGGGAAAATCTAAAACACACACACACACACACACGCACACACACACACACACACACACACACACACACACACACACACACACACACACAC